AAGGTCCTCTCCAAGGTGCTCCCCAGAGCACCTTCATAGACTCAATGGACTCCAAGTACCATGGTGTGAAAACAAATTGAATAGATCAGTGATTCTCAAAGTGTGGTTCCAGAACCAGAAGCATGAGCATCACCTGGGAATGTGTTCGAAATGTAAATTTTCAAGCCCCTGTCCCAGATCTACTGAAATCAGAAATTCTGGAGGTGGAACCCAGCAACCTGTGTATTAACAAGCCCTCCAGGTGACTGTGATACACGTTTGACAAGGTTATCCAAATAGAGTATCCCATCAGGATATGTTGGAACAGGGATGGGGTTCAACATAGATTACTGGACAGAATACAGCCAAAAATTGAAATTTCTGGTTACTTAAATTATCACACACTTAACTGTAAGGCTCTTTTCCATTCACCATTTTCTTTTTTCATTTTGTGGATTTCTTATTGAATTGAATTTATTGAGGTGACATTGATTAATAAAATTATATTGGTTTCAAGTGTACAATTCTACAATACATCATCTGTATATTGTATTGTGTGTTCACCATCAAAAGTCACGTTTCCTTCCATCACCATTTATTCCCCTTAACCATCTTCTACCTCCCCCCACCCCTTTCCCCTCTGGTTGTCTGTATCTATGAGTTTGTTAAAAACAAGCATCTATCTTTTTTACTGTACCTGAGTGAGATTATAGACATTCTTGAAGTCCAACTTTGCAATGACCTGGGTCCATTTGAATTGGTTCAGTATGTCAGAAATCATTAGGAAAAGTAGGGAAAAATTAATTCATTAGGCAGAATTAGTGATGCTCCTCATAATTTTTCTTGATAAAAAGATTTCACATCTGAACCTCATAAAATAATGTTGAGCAAAAGTTTAGGCATAAAAGTATACATACTGAATAATTTTATTCATAGAAGCCATAAAAAGGGCCATGCTCATCTACAGTGGAAGAAGTCAGGATAGGAATTATTGACTGGACGGAGGCAGGAGGGGTACCTGATGTACATGTAGTGTTCTGTTTCTTGATCTGAATATTGTTTAAATGGATGTGTTTATTTTCTAGAAATTCGTCAAGTTGTACCCTTATGATATGTGCACTTTCTATATACTATATTTGATATATTTCAATACAAGAGCTTGAAAATGGTATTGGGTCACCTGCAGAGGAAGGACACACTGCTATGGATGCTGGGTTTCACACTCTCAGAGGACCTGAGCCTTCACATCTAGATGTGACTATATATTTGGTGCAAACACAGGTTCCTGGCACCAAGTCTATTGCATTATGACAATATGAACTATATGGGGACCACTCTGTTTCTTGCTTGAAAAAGACATCCCTGATCTGGATGTCCTATGGATGGGGAAGAAGTGAGGCAGTTACGTATGTGAACTGTGGGCCAGGGTAAGTTTCAGCATCAGGCTACTCCAGGGAATGGGAGGTGGCAGGGTTCTGGATTTTCAAGTTGTTTAGGCCAAGAAACCATATAAAGCAGGTGTCATGGGTAAAAGGGAAGTACCCCACTATTTGGTCCCTCATTCTGAGCTCCATAGGTGGGTAAGTCCCCAACTTGTGAGCACCCATCTTTTTCTGTGCCCTTCTGGGCCCAGATCATAAACCTACATGTAAACTTAGTTTTCCTGACCTTACCGGCTTGTGAAAGTAGATGGAGTCTCAGTTAAAGAATTAGTTTAAATTACACCAGCCCTTGCCCACATTTGGAATTCAAATAGAATTGCAGTCATGTAAAATAGCTGAATTATGTCTGAAAGCCCCCAGTAAGATCACAAACCAATCTATTTTTGGCATCTTCCATGTTCTCCCTTACTAATTCTAGGCCCCATCTTCGTTACTCTGCCCATAAAGCTGCTTCAGAAGTACTTATTCCTCCTCTTCCCCATCCACTGAAACTGTGCCCACCATGGGAATGTTGATAAAGGTGCCAAGAGATTTACTTCTTGATCCCCCTAAAAGCCCCAACCATAGATGTGCCCACCCATGTGCCAGCCTTGTGCAAACATGCCTGAATCTCCATTTGAGCTCAAGGTAACACATACCTACTGAATACATAATGTCCTGTGTCCCACAGTGGTAGGATCTGAAAGCAGGCTCTGGCTGCTTTTAGGCTCCATGGCTCAATTGGGGGGGTTGGTGATAGGTAGAAGCATAGGGCTGGGCTTGAATGGCTTCCCTGTTACTGAGGGACAATGAATGGTGTTTTCCAGAGGTGTGTGCTTCAATCAGGAAGTGGCAGGAACAGCTGCTCCCTCTGGTGGTCTGTGCCCTCGGGGGGGGGGGGGGGGGGGGGGCGGTCAGCTTCAGCAGTTTGGTACTGTTCATATCTCTTAGAACTATTCCTGAGTGCAGGGTATTTAACAAACAGTTTCTGAATCAGACAAACCCAAAATGAGGAATGTTCTGTTAAAAATGCTAATGTCATACAAGATGAAGAACGGTTGTGGAAATGTTCCAGATTAAAGGAGGCTAAAAAGACATGATAACTAAAAGCAATACCTCACTTTGGGGTGGTGAACACAAAATACAATATACAGATGATGTATTATAGAATTGTACCCCTGAAACCTATATAATTTTATTAACCAATGTCACCCCCAATAAATTCAATAAAAGCAATACCTCAACCTAGAGCAGATTCTGGGACATTTTGTCTCAACTGACAAAATTGGAGTACAAATGGTAAATTGGATGATAACATTGTATCAGTGTTAAATATACTGAAGTTGTTAACTATGCTGCAATGTAGAGAATATGCCTATTCTTAGGAAATGCACGCTGAAATACTTAGGCATGAAGGGCTATGATGTATATAATTTACCCTCATATGGTTCAAACACACACATACACACATGGGGGGGAGGGGGGAGAGAGAGAGAGAGAGAGAAGAGAGAGAGAGAGAGAGAGAGAGGAAGGGAGAGAGAAGTCACGAGCATAAGGACAAACTATAAAGCAAATGATGTAAAATGTTAGTAATTGGTGAATCTGGTAAAGGGGATATAGATATTCTTCATACTATTTTTATTTTTGAAACTTTCCTGTAAATTTAAAATATTTCCAAATAAAAATGTTTTTAAAATGTAAATGACCATTTCTGTGCAAGCAGTCAAAATCTGTGGCACATGCCTGACTGAACTCTTCCTTTGGCAGAGATGAGGAATGGGGGCTACTAGACACATCCCAAAAAGCAGTCAAATACCTGGCATTAAGTTGCCAAGTGGCATCCAAGGCCACTCATCTCTTGATTTCCCCTGTCCTTTAAGATACCAAAAATACCACTTTTTACAATTTCTCCTGAGGATTATGGGCCCTGGATGTTGGTGAAAATGTGGTTATGAAAGGAAGGTGTATTGGTTCCTTCATCCATCCAGTAAATGTTTTGAATATCTACTATGTGTCAGGAACTGTGCTAGGAGCTGAGGATGCAGCTCAGGCTATAAGAGGAGATACAGCCCTGTCTTAAAAAAGCCTATGAGCTAGTTGGAGATGTAAATGTGTATTTCCAAATGAGTTGACCATGAAGTAGACTTGGAAAGCCCTGGGGGATCCCAGCCTTTTATCAGAGCCAGTAGATCCAAGCCCCATGAGTCTGATGCACATTTAGTTTCCCCCAGGATTTCCTAGGTTATAGATACCTTTGTGTCTCCTGTTGAGAAGAAAAGAAGGAACCACCAGTGCTTACCCCAATCTGGGTGCAGCTCAACTGTTTTGGCTTAGCTCTTTGCAAGCTGCTCTGCCTTCTGTGAGAATCAGGGAAGAGGTCAACATGCCACTCCATTGATGTCCCTGGGCTGATAGACCAGTAAGTTTTGGAGAACAGTCTTAATAGTGATGTATGCCTGTAGGTGAATGTAAAGATATATCCATAATGCTTGTGGAAGGTAAAAACCACCAAACATCTTTATGTGGAAACCTGGCAGGCTGGTGGCTCTACGAGTCCCATCACTGGGGTGCTGAGTCATGAAAACAAGACAGCAGTCTTCTAAATGGACAGAATAATGACTTTTGAGGACAGTTTTGGTTCTCCCCAAATCCTGGGTATGGCACTGATTGTGATGCCCTCTACAGAGGGACAATAGTGGAGTCCTTTGCCTTGGGGCTCTAAGTAGTCAATGTTGTAGAGGGAGGTGTAAGTGTGTGTGTGTGTGTGTGTTGTGTGTGTGTGTGTGTGTGTGTGTGTAACTGCATGTAACACCATGTGTGCCCATGTTGTTCATGGGTCTCAGGTAGGACTGACACTCACCTCTGATGCATTCTGGTCCTAGTCCAAGGAAGTTTTAGATCCAAGAAACGTTTACTGAGCCCCTACAAAGTTCCAAGCCTTTTACTTTATACTTTGACACATTTTATATCATTTACTCTTTAACAATAACCCTTTAAGGTAGGAATTATCTGCATTGTACAGATGAGAAAACAATTGAAAAGAGGTTCATTGATTTGCTCAAGTATATCATACAGCTTTGTTAAAAAAACACTCATTCACAATACTCTTAGCTGAGGACTGTCTGTGTTGGTTGCTTATCTTACAGTATTTGTTGTTTCCTCCTCTACTAGAGCCATGGCTCCCCTTATACAAGCTCCCTTCTTTCTTCTCTTTTCACTAGCCCTCATGGGCTTTCCTTTTTTTAATACTGCATTTAATAGCACAAAAAATCACGAATACAAAGAAACTGGCAAAGGTGTTTGTCAATGAGATATCCCTGCCTCCTCCACTTTTCTGCTTTCATACCCATGTATGTAATGGGCTACATTTGTATAAACTTTTCATTTTCCCCCCAAACATAGAACTGTTATGATTGGTCAGTTGAAGCTGAAACACCCATGGAGAAAGATGTTTTACAGTTAC